TTTCAATGCCCCAGGAACTAATATGAGATCGATCAAATGAAAGCGGTTCCATATGCTTCAGCTGTCGGAAGCTTGCAATATGCTCAAGTATGTACGCGCCCTGACTTGACATTTGTTACCGGGTTACTTGGCAGATTTCAGAGCAATCCTAGAATAGAACACTAGAAATTAGTAAAGAAAATCTTGCGTTATTTGCAAGGAACGAAAAGCCTCATGATGACGTATAGAAGATCAGATTCACTCCATATAGTGGGATATTCATGTTCTGATTATGCGGAAGATGATAGAAAATCCACGTCAGGATATATATTCTCTCTCGCAAGGGGAGCTATTTCATGGAAAAGCTCAAAGCAAACCGTCACTACATCGTCCACAATGTATGCCGAGTTTGTAGCGTGTTATGAGGCAACGAAGCAGGTGAACTGGCTAAATAAGTTCATACCTGGTTTGAAGGTGGTTGACAACATCTATAGACCACTTAAGTTATACTGCGATAATAATCCGGCAGTACAGTATACTCACAACAATAAGTCAAGTGGTGCTGCCAAATACATTGATATAAAGTATTATATTGTGAAAGATAAAGTCCGGGATCATGTCATAAGTCTTGAGCATATAAGTACCGAAAAGATGCTCATGGATCCGCTTACGAAAGGCTTACCACCCAACGTGTTCAGAGAACATGTAGCTAGCATGGGTTTAAGAGAAAGACTATAATTACTGGACAAAAGAAGGCCCAAAGTTAAGTATCTATTTCAGAACAGAATGGTGTGTTGTTGCTATTAAATCTATCAGCAATTGACCGTGACGATGAAACATGCTCTATGCCCTAATCTGTAATGGAATGAACAAAAGTAAATGATATGAAATTAAAAGATGGTAGTGAGATCAAGGGGAAGAATGTTAGTTGATCTCCACCAATAGGCCCGGGCCCTTGGATCTGCGCCCTAATCGGGGGTGCCCAACCCTAATATGGTTGGTGAGCCCCTGTCGCACAACACTATAAAGAGAGGTGGGGATCAAGGCTCTAACTACGAGGTTGACCGGAGCCGCTGTGACCCACCAACAGAAAATCTAACCCGATCTAAAGAGGGTGCTGCCAGCGATGGGAAGACCCACTGACTTCGCCGCCACCAACCTCACCGTCGCCTCTGCATCGCCACTGGACCTCGCCACCACTACGCTGGACCCCACCGCACCGAGCTGCCACGACACCAGCGTCCAAGCCGCTGCGGCGCCATGGACCGAATGATGACCTAGGGTGAGGTACATCTACAGTTTTCCCATCTAAGTAAGATGCTTACCTCTGATCTACGTTTTAGAGGCACTCTGTTTTCAACATTAGGGTCATCAGTCATTACGTGAGCCCATTCGCGCACCGCATCAAGGCCGCTCTGTGGCTCAAGGGCGTGCCTTACGAGCTGATTCAGGAAGACCTAAGCAACAAGAGCGAGCCAGGGATGCGGCGCACTGGGTTGGGGTCGTCAAGGAGGTCGTCGGGGTGACCCTCGTCAACGGTGAGTTCCAAAGCTTGGCACCTAAACGACCGTTCATTCATTCATTCATTCTTTTTCCAGAAGAACAATGTCAGGCACGTCGCCTCACTGTCCACCTGTGCTCACAGACCATGCCGTCTGCCCATCCTCCACCTCCTGTTGAGCACAAGATCGTCGTTCTCCACCTCCGGCCACGCCTTCCATCCACCGGCCGCACCTTCCATCCACCATCGCTCCCAGCCATCGTCGGCGCTGGCTCGCAGCCTCGCACTGCACCCACCCCGTGCGACCTTGCGATGCCAACGCCGCAGCCCTGGCCATGGCGACCTTGCGATGCCAGCAGAGGCTCCATAGCCCCAGCCATGGCGAGTACCTACTGGAGAAGAGGAGGGGGGAAGCGGAGGTGGAGCACGACGGAGGGGTCACCAAAGGAGGTGGCCCCACCTTATCACACCGCCACCGCCGCGCCGTCAACCTATGGAGGCAACCCCTTCATCTCCTCCCCCACCGGCGGTGCCGCCACCGCACCGAAGAGGGACTTCGTGAAGGACATGCTCGGCAAGATGGGGAAGAGGTTCGGCGATGGTGGCCCGCAAGACCGATACATCACCAGCAACTTCTGGCAGCACCCTTCTGTCGTAGCTAGCCATGGCGCAGCGGGAGTCCTTGGAGCCGGCCATCTGTGGGTGTGTCACCTCGGACTCGATGACCGAACGCTGCAATGGCATGGCGACGGTAGAGGTGCTTGCTACATCCAGACATGAGAGGTGCCCGGGACATGTTCGCCAGAATGCCTCAATGAGGTAATCTTACCTGAATGGAGATGAGGTGACTGTAGTCAAGCTAACCAGCCAACCAAACATGACCTAGGTAAACCAGGCTTAGCTAAGACAAGTAAGCCAAATAACAGTCCCTTGTACGTATTGGGAGAGCCAGGCTTATGTTGCCCTGACTTAGTTGGCTAGCCAGGCCAGGTCTAAAACGCGAACGAAACACACCCTATTTGGTTCCAGGCAACCAGGCATGAACAGACTATCCTCCAATCCAGCTGCACGCACTCCCCGCTCGGGATATCGAAATACGTCTTTCCATTCTTTTTTTTGAATTACACAGTGCAACGTAGACGCCCAACACGCACGCACACTCACCCATACGAACACACGTACGTAAACTGGTCACGCACTAGCTTTTTCTCCTATATATAGCTTGAAACACTGTTTTTGTGTGTAACCAAGACATAAAAAATTATATCTTCAATGCTGTAATAAGGTGACTGAGACTTTCCTTATCCATAAGTTACCTTGTTAGACTAACATATTTTTCTCATGAAATCAAAACATTTTCTTTTCTTGAGTACAATATTCTTGTCATAAATAAAGATTTTTTTTCTTGAACAGGACATTTTATTAATGGAGGACGGGACTTGCTAAAATTCAGAGTTTCATTTTAGGCGATACTTATTGCATATATTTTATATTAAAATTGCAGGTTTAATTCATTGTAATTTCTGTAGGCATAAACTGTAATTTTTTTATTTTGAGAATAAAAAACCCACTATACAAGACTACAAACCCGACAAAATCTGATTTGTGCTGGCACAAAAATAATTAACAAGTTACAATTATTTTTATAATCAGACAAGGACAAAAAATTGTATGACACAAAGACAAATAACAAATCACGAATGTAACAATTTATTTGTACTAGTTGGTAGTACAAGAGTGTTACATTTACTTTAAAAATTCAGGCATATGCAATATAAGAGAAGAGTATTAAAAAAGATTTCATTTGTTTTGGAATACCTTTCAGGGAGCTGCTTTATTGGTCTGATAAATAGTTACATCGTTTACAAGTGTGTTCAGAATGAAACTAGCCAGGGGTTTCATGCACCAACCCAGATATATAGAAGAATTTTTCGAAGAAAAAGCTTCCCTGCAGCTAGCTCGTGAGCTACCTGCTCAATGGTTACACTATCAAAGTATCAAACCCATTACCCATAGCACAAGATGCTGCGATAATATAATCGTAGTCGTAGATAGCAGCCGCCGCTTAGCCGCCGCCGAGAACCCACCATGATGCCATGCATTGTCTCTGCCACCTCAGTCGGTCCCAAATAACAAGGCGAATACTTCCAATGCGTTGGTTAGCACCAGACCTTTTTTTGAGAAGGAAGGATGAGGATTGAACAGATTTTCAGGTAGGGCCACTAGTAGAAATGTTGCATTGGGGACAAAAACAAAAGTTCGCACAACTCAAACTAAACAAACAGCACTTGGAATCGGAAGGATGCAGAGAAGAAGAAGATGCAAATTAGAAGCAGAATAACTGTTCAAGCTACGTGGCCTGTGTCTGGGTGTGGCCAGATCCAACCCGTCTCAGTTGAGCTCAACAATTGAGAGCCGGCCGTTAAAACGTCGGATTCACATGCACGAAAAGGAAAAACAAAAGTAACCACAAGACTGTCGGCGAAGCCATATTGTAGTACACCAAACCCAGTTTAATTTGGAGCGAGAGATCCAAAGACGATGACGACACTGACTTCTCACATTTGTCATTTCAAAAAGGAAAACTAAATAAACCACAGTTTAAACGAACATACACCCGGATTGATCGACCCAGGGCAGCTTCCTTGCTCGCGAAATGGATCGCGTGTGCTCGATCATCAACCGGCCGATATGAATATGATCCCGTGCTCGCAGCTCAAGAGCTTGAGTGACTTTTCCGCGTGTATGACAATTTCTAGCAAGTGATGGATCATTTCCATTGATTGAGCGAATAGGGTCGGGCACCAACCGGATGTTTAGCTTGGATAGAAATTGGAGCTGTAAAAAGAGAAACAGATCGATTTGACATTCAAGGGGCAAAATCCTTTCCCCTGTTTCGGAGTTGAAACGAATTCTTCATATTCACTGTTGTCAGTCAGATATGTTTATATTTTCGAACGGAAGTTGAAAAGCCCAAACAAGTACATTCTCAAAAATCTAAACTAAACATTCTCCTCATCCATTTTCGTTGAGGCAATTCTGACCAAACTGAAAGGTCAGAACCTGAAATTCCTTAATGGAATGACGTTCGCCGTTACGGCCATACAAACTGAAACTTGTTCAGCTATGTTCAGAACAAAGTTGCCTACCTATGGATATGCTGAGGTCACAGCTTATGCAAGGCATATGATACACTATCTCTACATCTTGGGGTTATTATATCAAAACCTTTGACTATGTCAATGTGAGCCAAGCATATAATCTTGATTACCTCCTATAAATAGCAATGGTTTAGCAAGTTTCTCCGAGCACATGGAGCAAGTAGCACGCAGGCAGGAAAAACCAACTAGCAGAAAGAAACATGTCTCCACCTGTTAGGGTCATCAGCCATTACGCGAGCCCATTCGGGCACCGCGTCGAGGCCGCTCTGCGGCTCAAGGGCGTGCCTTACGAGCTGCTCGCCGAGGAAGACCTGAGCAACAAGAGCGAGCTGCTGCTCGCCAGCAACCCTGTCCACAAGAAGGTGCCCGTGCTCCTCCATGGCGACCTGGCGGTCTGTGAGTCCCTCGTCATCGTTCAGTACGTCGACGACGCCTTCGACGGGCCGTCTCTCCTGCCGGCCGACCCCTATGACCGTGCCATGGCCCGTTTCTGGGTTGACTTCATGGAAAACAAGGTATGCTGCGTGCGTTGGTTATAACCTGCTGCCTCACCTGTTCATTCGGTTCTTATGAAATCTGAACATTTGCTGACCGTGCCGTGGCCCGCTTTCCTGGACATGTACAGTGCTCCAAGTCGTTCTGGCTGGCACATTGGGCGGAGGGTGAGGCGCAGAAGGCTATGGTGAAAGAGACCAAGGACAACCTGGCGCTCCTGGAGGCGCAGCTCGACGGGAAGAGGTTCTTTGGTGGTGACACGGCCGGCTACGTCGACATAGCCGTGAGTGCGTTAGGTCCTTTTCTCTCAGTGCTTGAGGAGGTGACTGGACTGACCTTGGTGGACGCCAAGGAGTTCCCTGCTCTACGCCAGTGGTCCAAGGAGTACAATTCCAATGAAGCGCTGAAGCCTTGCCTGCCGGACAGGGACCGACTCGTCGCCTACTTCACTGAAAACATCGAGATGTACAAAATGATCGCCAAGACAATGTTGCAGCAGTAGTTGGATGCAATAAAAGAGCAAGTCTTTACGTGTGGAATATTGTATGGACGGTGATTAACCGCCTAATTTATACAAGATTAAGTAAGGCCGCTCCGCTAACACGTTGACACATACGTACTTTCACTTATATAAACTCGGTAGTCCACCGAATGTCACGAAAGACATTGGTAAATCCACGTCACAACCAAGACCATAATAGATTAAGCAAATACACATCACATACAGGAGTTTGCTACGGAAATAATATTACAATTGAGTTCATAAATAAATAATACAAGTTCGAGTTCAATTCTGATTAACAAAAATAACATAGATTTGAAATGATTACAATAACATAAGTTCTAATTATATTGCTAGCGTAATGACATCCTCCAACTACAGCATATAGATGAGAAATAAATATGGAGTCGCCGAGCCCACCGGCACTTAGCCACACCCTTCAGCAGGCTGAACCTTTACCTACAACATGGTGGGAAAAAACCTTGAGTACTAGAATGTATTCAGCTATACTTACCCGACATGAGAGAAATAAAAAGACTCTTAAGGATATGTAGGGCTTATTTGGTGGAGCTGATTGGATAGCATAACTTTGCAAAAGAGCATTACTATCATAAGTCCTTGCTTTCAATATTTTATTCAATATTTTAGCATCAAGTACAGTGAAGCTTATTATAGCTAAATTTGCATTTGTCCTATAGCAATCACTTGATTAACATTAATAAGCATCGCAGTAATAACCATATCCAGTTTATCTTATAATCCGTATAACCATCATATTCCATCAAGTATTACTATGAATGCTAGATAGTGACTAAGTTTCTCGCTATCCGGGAGAGACGGCGATTCGAATCGATTGCATCCAGCTGGGCAGAAAATCCATATCACAAACCCTGGCAGACCTGATCATGAGTCGCCTTAGGTCACCTTTGGTACTATTCGGGTCACATTTTGCGGGTCCAAGCTCAGCCGCATACTCAGGGACCAACCGGTTGCCAGGACGTTCAGGCCCAGCCTGCCCATGGTCATATCCGTGTCCCCGCACATCCTTCCTACCTCCAGTATGCGCGACATACATATTGGATTCCCCGCCCAAATAGAACTACTCAGCTTCGCGGTCGGAACGACTTATCCGGCCAGCTAAGTGAAAGGCGGCGTTCAATCTCGACCAAGGTCCAATAACGGTACGATTCTTAACCAACACAGACGGGATCAACATAAGTCATATCACCATCAAAACCGGTCTCCATTTATATAGCATCACATGGTTCTTTTTCACGATAGCAAATATAGCCAACCGTGACTAGGTATCCACCTATATCTCTCAGGTAACAGGAAATCACCCCACTTCTACCGGTCTAAATATGGCTAAGCATAGATCAACCTACTCATCTAGTAAGAGTACATGTATTTATATATAGTGGACAAGGTAGGGCAAAATGCACCAACGGTTTCATCCAACTCCTATTACCTAATGCATCATACAAAAGTTATACTCATGTGCATTTATAAAAAAGAGAGGGTAGGAGACTTAGAATGCTCCGGGACTTGTCTGGGGGTTCAGTTATCTTGCACCGTCTTGGAAACATCTCCACTCCAAGCATCCACTCCAAGGGTCCTTCCATCTTCGGAATAGGTCCATCAAACACCGTCTTCGGGTTCAGCTCCAACATCACATCCTTCGGTTTCTCGCATTGTACATCTAGCGTACCTAGATGGGATGCAAAAATGCAGATGTATGAATGCTGAGGAAGCAACACATGATGCATTTAAAAGACATACAAGACATCCACGAGGACACAACGAACGATGTAAGGACCCAGAGAGTAAGCCATATAATTAACTATCACACAAACCTATCATGCTCGGATAACAAGAAGGCAACTATTCGTTCACAATCAACTCAAGTTAAGCTATCACAGGGCAAGCATCTATCATAAGCTAACAAAACTTAGCATCACATAACCAGCGGGTGAGATATAAATAAAGTAAGATACATGTTCACTAGACATCTCAGGTAGATCAATCTAACACCACTGAAATTATGGGCTAACACTACCAATCACACAAGCAATACAAAACGAAAGCAATCAACTACAGGTACAATACAGATTCTGGACAGCAGCACAGTAGGCACTTGTTTTAATCATAACTGGAGTTACAAATGTCCAACAGAGGTGATTTTAGACTTTCTGGAAAGCTAATGAAATTGTCTACAACTTTGTAATTTACACCCAGAGATGATTCATTAGTTAACTAGGGTGAAAACCACAAGAAAGTAGAACTGCATAGTAAGGACAGAAAACTGACATGAACTTCAAAAATGTATATATGAAGTTTTAGACATCCAACAAAGATGATTCTTAATTTTATGAAAATCTCATTAAATTTTATATAACTTTCTTATTATCATATCATAATGATTCAATAGTTACCAAGACCAAACAACACAAAGAAGCAAATCTGTCCAGACTTGGACAGATTCTAGTATTAGGCTTTAGACATTTTTATCTAGAGTTCTAGACCACGAAGGGGTGTTCTCTACCATTTTGGAAAGCTTAAGAAAATCACTACAATTCTTTTCTTCACATCATGACGTGATTCAAAAGTTATATTAGTAAAAAAGGCACGACATTGCAGCACAAAAGTATTCAGCTAGACTCACTACAAAAGGTTGCACACAAATTAAAGCATTACATACTATCATACACAAGGCATTCAAACATGCTCATGCTCAAGACAAGAATGCAAGATACTCATGCCAAGGTGATGCATATGAAGGAAACATCATTAACACTACTCATGCATGGTTTGAAAAGAGTTAACGTTAAGCACAAGAATTTTGCCTTCGTCTTCACAACTGTTAAGCTGGGGCTCATTTTCAGGGAAAAGACTTCAACGTCGTTTGTTACCATTTCCAAGGTTGTGAACTAGAGCTCCTAATTATCACTAGACATAACTTGTTTCAATCCAAACTCACTGCTTAACTTGAGACTAGGGTGTGACATGTATCGGATCGCGAATGCTGCTCTCCTCTTCCTTCTCCTTTGTAACTCTCTTTGTTTCATGACTCTCTTGGTTTAATAAAATTTCTCTGTGGGGCCTTCGGCCCTCCAATTCGTCCAAAAAAACAAATGGTGTGTGCAGAACGAAATTAAATGTGATTCTTTGAAGTGTTCTGAAGTCAACAATTAGGTTATTGTAGTATTCATTTTCAGTGTTTGAAGTGATATGGCTAGATTTTTCTTGAAATTTTTGTTTCATATATATGTTTAATCAGCCATTTATTTTGTTTAATCACTGTTTAGTCCGTTTAAATGACCATTTGGTCTGAATAAATAGCTAAACTATAAGTGACCATTTAGTCCGTTTAAACATTTGGACTAACACTGTATTTTATGAATATAAACTAGTCAAAGTAGGTCAAAAGGTCACCAATTTATGGCTGAAGGAGTAATATTTATTCTTCAATAGCCTGATTCTTATTCATTAACTTTTTCTTTCATCTAGAATGAAATATACATGAGTAAATTTTACGAGTGGTCTCTAAACTTGCACGACGATATCATCTGCGTCCTAACTCACAAATTTGGATATGATTATAGTTAAAACCCTGGTTGTTATATTTTGCTTGTACTATGATCTATATTTCTGAGCATTTGTTATTTAGACTCTGTTCTTTGTCTAGACTCATCAAATTTTCTAGGTCTGGCATTGTGTTTTTACGATACTGAAATGTATGGTTTTTTCTCGATCACGCAAAAGGTTTACGCGTCTTTGTATTAAGGTGGAGAAAATGTTCAATACAACACGTCTTAATGGCACCCTAGGGGATCAATAAGTTATACATGAATGCTCGGACCCTTCCTAGTGTACTGAAATGTATGGTAGAAGACTGTTAGTGACAACCATGATGTTCTTAAACTGGAGTACACTTTTGGCATTGCTCACGTAGTCACGTGGTACACATGAGTAGGGTAAAATAAAAGTAAAACTATGGATGGTCAATTTTGGTGTTTGATTGTTAGTGTCTCCTTTTTTCCATTCACTGGGAACGCCCTCCCCGCAGTCCGATCTGTGTGCTGTCATGGGACCCGTTCAACTTTTGACCCTAGTCAACCTTGTCCGTGCGACAGGAGGCCGGGAGCGTGTTCTTCTTCCTTGTCACCGCTGACAACCTCACCGAACACCGAACCTTGTCGATGTGAATCAGACGCTGCCATTGGTGGGTTTTTTTTTTTTGAAGAAACAGGAGGGGCTTGTGCCCCTACTGAATTTATTGAAAGAACCAGGAAACAGAAAGTACAGTCAATTGTCTTAAGATTACAACCAGTTAGTTCAAGAAACAAAAAAAGAGGTGAAGAAAATGAGCTCAATTACACAAATTGATCTAGCCACTGGTGGTTGTAATGCTCTGTAAAGAGGCTAGGAGCAAGCTGGGTTTTTTTTTTTATTTCACATTTCTAATTCTCACATTGCTACGCTAATAGATTGGACGGAAACTGGACCTGTAAAAAACAGATGAATTTCAAAGTTTAAGGCGCAGAATCCTTTCCCCTGTTTTCAGTTAGAAGCTTAACCTTCAAAGCTGAAACAAATTATTCATATTCACTGTTGTCAGAATTTTTTTTATTTTGGACCGAGAGTTCAAAGCCCAAATAAGTGCTGGTAAATTCCCAAACTCTTAACTGAACCTATTCCCCAACCCAAATTGAAAGGTCGTAACCTGAAATTTCTAAACTGGAATGACGTTCGCCCTTACGATGCTACAAACTGAATGGGCCAAGGGACTGGATGATTTTTTTTTTTAGTTATTCTGCGGACTGAAGCAACCAAGCAACTCCTTGTGAAAATTTTTAAGCATTAGATGTCTGTAAACGTGCTCTTTCTTATTGTAGAAGCAGCAGCCCACCTGCCTTTGACCATGTCGATATGATACGAGCCAAGCAATCTTGATTTTCCCCTATAAATAGGAATGGTTCAGTAAGTTTGTCCAAGCAGAT